CTTTTCCACTTGAGCTATAATTTGGTCTCCCAATTTCACTTCCAAATTATTGTCGAATAGTCCTTTACTAAATTTACAATATAAATATTCCGTCTTACTTCTACTCAGACGAAAACCTTTCGACTCCAATGTCCTCCTCCATAACTCAAGTTTGCAATTAACCTCTTCTCTTGTCTCTGCTATAAGAACTATATCATCCGCGAAGAGCATACATTTCGGGATTTCCCCTTGAATATGTTCCGTCAAAACATTTAAGATCAAGTTGAACAAATAAGGACTCAGAGATGATCCGATGTAGTCCAATCTTTATAGGAAAATCCTTGTTTGACCACTAGGCATTCTTATACTAGTTTTTACCCCCTCATACATATCTTGTATGGCTTTAATATAAGCAATGCGTACTCCCTTTTTTTCTAACGCTTTCCAAAGCACTTCTTTTGGTATACGGTCATAAGCTTTTTCCAAATCAATAAAAACCATGTGTAGATCTTTATCTTTACAACGATACTTTTCCATAATCCCCTTAGTAGATAAATCGCCTCTGTAGTCGATCTACCTGGCAAAAAACCAAATTGATTCTCAGAAATACTTGTCTCCAATCTCAACTTGCTCAATTACTTTCTCCCACAATTTCATTGTGTGGCTCATAAGTTTAATCCCTCTATAGTTAGTACAATTTTGAATATCTCCTTTATTTTTATAAATAGGAATTAATGTACTTCTCCTCCACTCATCAGGCATTTTCTTGGACCGTAAAATCACATTAAATAACTTAGTTAACCATCTCACCCCTTCTTCCCCTAAACATTTCCACGCTTCGATAGATATACAATCAGGTCCGTTGGCTTACCATTGCCATTTTCTTAAGAGCTTCCTTTACCTCCTTATCACGTATTATTCGATAGAATGATAAATTTTGTTCTCCTTCACCAGTTACTAAATCCTCCAAGTTACTAGATGAACCCTCTCCATCATTGAAAAGTTTAGAAAAGTAAGTCTCCCATCTATTTTTAATTTCATCATCTGTAACTGAAGTTCTTCCCTCTTAATCCTTAATACACCTTACCTGTTCTAGATCTCTTGATTTTCTTTCCCTACTCTTGGCAATCTTATAAATATTTAGCTCTCCTTCCTTCGTCTCAAGGCTCTTATAAAATTCTTCAAAAGCTTTAGAACGAGCTTCACCCACAGCTCTCTTAGTTTCCTTCTTAGCCATACAGTACCTCTCCCAATTTTCCTCATTGTTACACAAATGTATGGCTTTAAAACAGTTCTTCTTATACTTGATTTTGTCCTGTACACTATTATTCCACCACCAAGACTCCTTATCTCTCGGACCAAAGCCTTTTGATTCTCTAAAACTACTTTTGCAACCTCCCGTATCTTTTTAGCCATATCCTCCCACATGATGTTAGCACTTCCCTAAGATTCCCAAATTCCTTTATCCAAAAGATTTCGCTTGAAAATATCTTGCTCCTCACCTTTTAATTGCCACCACCTAATCCTTAGTGCTACTACTTGTCGACGTTTTTGGATTTTACTCAAATACACACATCAAGGACTAGGACCCTATGTTGTGTCGTTACAGCATCTCCGGGGATCACCTTGCAATTTTTACAAAGTCTTCTATCTGTGTTCCTAACCAAAAGAAAATCAATCTGTGACCTTGAGGCTCCACTTTTGTAAGTGATGAGATGCTCATCTCTCTTCTTGAAACAAGTGTTGGCAATCTTAAAATCATATGCCAATGAGAAATCAAGAAGAGTTTGTCCTTCATTGTTTAGCTCTCCAAAACCAAAACCACCATGCACTCTCGCATACTGACCAGCTTCCCTCCCGACATGCCCATTAAAGTCTCCTCCAATAAAAATCTTTTCACTCTGTGGTATGCATCGAATCAACCCCTCCAGATCCTCTCAAAATAATTCCTTAAGACTGGCTTCTGTCCCGACTTGCGGCGCATAAGCGCTAACAATATTAACAGTCTCACATCCAATTATCATTTTTAAGGAAATAATTCTGTCTCCAATTCTGCTAACTTCTACAATGTTCTTCTTCCACTCCTTATCTATAATGATGCCTACTCCATTGTGTGCACTTACTTTCCTGTATACCAAAGTTTGAAACCTTGAATATCCTTAGCTTCTTCTCCATGCCATTTTGTTTCTTGCAGGCAAAGGATATTGATTTTTCTTTGAATCATAACCCCTACAACCTCTACAGATTTACAATTCAATGTCCCAACATTCCAAGTACCAAATTTAATTTTGCTCTCATGGACTAACTTCTTTAGCCGTGTGTGTCCAGAATGACGCGGTAGCCCTTGCTCATTTAACACTACATCCGGGCGCCGATGCAGTGGCTCTAACTCACTTATCACTGTACTCGAGCCATGCAGCGCGTTATTACGGGCAACGACCTAGCATTAACATTATAACGTCTATTGTCCATGTTCATGATAGATTCAACAAAGTTTTACATTGGCTGTTGATGGCCTAACACAACCCTCTTCCTTTACCCGGGCTTGAGATCGGCTATAAACATAGGCGGAGTTAGGCACTAGGAATATCAAAATGGAGAAATGTAGTTATGGAAGAAATTAGAGCTTTGGAGAAAAATGGAACATGGGAGACTGTTGAAAGACCTAAAGGTAAGAAACTAGTTAGTTGCAAGTGGATATTTACTCTAAAGTAAAAGGTTGATAGCATAGTTGCCAAGTTAAAGGCATGATTAGTAGTAAAGGGTTTCACCTAGACTTATGGTATAGACTACAAAGAGATGTTTGTGCCAGTGGCAAAACGACACACTATCAGAATTCTATTATCAGTAGCACCCAACCATTCCTTGAATGGCCACTTCATCAACTAGATATCGAGAATGCCTTTCTAAATGGAGAATTAAAGGAATAAGTCTACATGACTCTACCTCTGGGGTTTGATAGAGACAAAAATGACAAAGTTTGCCAGTTGAAGAAATCTATGTATAGCTTGAAACAGTCACCTAGAGTATAGTTTGATAGATTCTTAAAAGGTTTTGAAGTCAGAAGGCTATAACATGGAGTATCAAGTCATATGATTTTTTTTTTAAGGCTGAGGGAGCCAAAAAGTGCATCCTTATTGTGCATATAGATGATATAATTCTTGCAAGAGATCATGTTGAGGAAATAGAAAGGATAAAGACTGTTCTTGGTAAGGAATTTGAAGTCAAGGATCTTGGGAACTTGAAATATTTTCTCGGGATGGAAGTTGCAGGGTCTAAACGAGGCATATATGTATCTTAGAGGAAGTATATACTTGATCTTCTCAGGGAAATTAGCATATTAGGTTGTAAACTTGAGGAAACTCCTATTGTGGTCTCGAGAAAGAAAAAGTCTAAGAAAAATAGTAAGGAGAAGTCAGAAGGAGAAGACAACTCTGATGATGAGGTTGAAGAAGAAGACAAGGAAAAATAAGAAACTGTTGATAAAGACAGATATCAGAGACTGGTTGGGAAGCTGATTTATCTATCTTATATAAAGCTAGATATTGCTTTTGCCATCAGTGTAGCAAGTCAATACATATGTGATCCAAAAAAGAAACACCTGGAAGCTGTATGTAGGATTCTTAGATACCTTAAAGGTACACCTGGTAAGGGATTGCTATTTAAGAAGCATGTGCAGAGGACAATGGAGATTTAAATAGATGTAGACTGGGGGGAACCTATGGAGATAGGAGATCCACCTTTGCTATTACTCGTTTGTGTGGGGAAACTTAGTGACTTGGAAAAGTCAAAAGCAAAGAGTCGTATTCAGAAGTAGTGCTAAATTAGAATTGAGAGCATTAGCTCAAGGAATCACAAAAGAACTATGGATAAGAAGGGTCTTGGAAGAAATACAAGTCAGAATTAATCTACCAATGAAGTTGTATTGTGATAACAAGGCTGCCATAAGCATGGCATTGAATCCTATACAACATGAGAGATCTAAACATGTTAAAGTGGATAGATATTTTATCAGAGAGAAATTAGAGGAAGGCAGTGTATGTCAAACATACCTACCTACAAAGTTACAAGCTGCAGATGTGCTGACCAAGGGACTACCTAAGCTTGCCTTTGAGAGCTGTATAAGCAAGTTGGACATGATTAGCATCTATGATCTAACTTGGGGGGAGTGTGGGAATATTATGTCATTATTGCTAATAATTAGCATTTATTAGCATTATTCATTAAGCTTTATTAGTATTTTATTGGGTTTTATCTCTCTTGATGTATTATATGATTGGATATGATATAGGACCTGCCTGTACATTGAAAGTAGATGAATGAGAAATACAATTTCCCTCTCTCAAAAACACCACACATAGAACTACTGTTTTTGAACCAAATAAGGCTTCTAGAAATGCCCTATATTATAAACCTAAAGGAGCATGTGATATCAAGATTCTTATACCTTGTTAAAGATGGGCTATTGCATCTATATTTTGTATTTGCAGATGGAGTTCAAGTTGGATTGAATGACTCTCGTATCATGTGAAGAAAATATGATAAAATTTAGATAGATGAGGAATGAAATCATTGAAATATATTTTTGAAATACTTAATTATGATATGCATTGTATTGACCCCTGAACTCAACTATTTCCATTGATGTAAGAGTAATACTTTTCTTAACTTCTAAGGCTTTCCTAGATACCTAATACCCAAGCCAATGACTTTGCTATTATGCTTTCTTTACAATCTCTATAGTCTATTCTTGAAATGCATAAAATTCTTTTCCCTGCAGGTCATTTGAATATTTTGGGCTCCAACAATATATTTCTTCTTTAGTCAATTTTGTATTTAGAATTTGATTGACAAGGATGCCAAGGATTAAATTTAGATTCATATCTTTGCAAAATTTATTTGCTAATACTTAGGTGATCAAATTAGTGAGTGTTATCTGTTAATCCTCTTGCAACAGCAGCAATACTTAGTATTATTCTTTTGTGAATGTTTATAATCACCCATCTTCTGGCCTTGTCTGATGATAGTTATGGCGAATCTGTTGAACGTATGAGTGTGGAGGAGTTAGAACAGGGGAAGAGCTGGTTAAGTGATACTTTTCAACTCATAAGGTGAGCCCATTGATGGCCTGGTTGCAACCCGCGCCCCCCCCCCCAGCCCCAAAAACATAAAAACAGACAGACAAAAAGAAAGAACCAAAGGAAAAAAACACCCTCTCTCTCTCAACTTATTTCATAATTTGATATCTGGCTAATTGAGCCACTGTTGTTTACTAGCATTGATAAGAAGACAATCATCATTTCCTGAGGAACTGAGGGAAGTTATGGGTCATAATGTAATTTATTCATATTTGAAACTAGGGAAAGATAGAACCTTGTTAAAACTAAGTGGAAATCAGAATCAGGGATCCAGCCATTTTAACCAACTGATCTGGCTGGTCTTTGGTTGTTGGAACTGAATCTCCTCTGCTTGTATTTTTTTTCCCTTCTTTCCCTTATCTTATGTACTGATAGTGTTGCTGAAATTGTAGTCTTGACCGTGAATTCTATAAATTACTTAATCTCTTGTGGATTTCAGGGCCTTTAGAATGTTTGCATGGAAATGAATTGTTTGTGCTTATGTCAGGAGTGTTCTAGTCTGGTCTTTATCCTTGAATTTGTTGAGAAACAATGGATATTTTTTCTTGATGGCTGTTGCAGGTTCTTGGCAGTGATTAATTAGCATATTGTTCAAAAAAATTTTGGGCACTTTTAGATTATTTATTTTACTCGTCGGTTTTGATGCTGGTGTTCCTTATTGGTCATGCTAGGTGTGAAGGTGATGCGCTTCCAAGTATAACTTGGCTTCTTGACCTTGCAAAAATAGCTGTGCTAAGGCATGGGGTGCGTGGACTTGTAATCGATCCTTATAATGAGCTTGACCATCAGCGCCCTCCAAGCATGTAACTTTCTCAGAGATTTTGTTCTTAATTTGGATCTTTTGTTTCTATTTTTCTTGTGTTCATAGTTGACCTCATCATGAACTTGCTACTTCTGTGGTAGCAAATTAAAGTAATGATGCCAATAGAAAGAACCTTATTGTGCTTAGTTGTTTATGATATATACTTAGGACTTGTTTGGTTGCTGGAAAGAATGGGAATAGAATGAATTAAAAAATAAAGGTAAAAATAAAATGATCAAAATATGGATGGGAGATTGGTCAACTATATTCATGATGGGAAAGAGTAATATAGTTCATGAGGTTGGGAGTTATGATTGATGAGATTTGTGGAAGGTGTGATGTTGGATTTTATCTTGCTTATTATAAGAGGGATGGTGATTTTGTTCATTTTTGGTTTATTTTTTTTTAATCCATGCCATAATTTCTAGCAACCAAACGGACCTTATATTGTCTCCCCTAGCATGTTGATTATTTTTGTTCTTTGCACCCTATACTTTGTTCAAACATTAGCAGCATTGCTAATGATGTTTATTTATTTGTTTCAGGACTGAAACTGAATATGTTAGTCAGATGCTTACCAAAATCAAACGGTTTGCCCAGCATCACGGATGCCATGTTTGGTTTGTAGCACATCCTAGACAGGTTGGTAACAAAAGGCTGTAATCTCGGCCATTCCCTCTTTCCTTTTTCTGATATATCTAATGGTCTAACAGTTAGTTGCATAATAAAAATACCAGTTACAAAATTGGGTTGGGGGACCTCCTAATCTCTATGATATAAGTGGAAGTGCACACTTCATAAATAAATGCGACAATGGAATTGTTATTCATCGAAATCGAGATCCAGAAGCTGGGCCTATGGATCAAGTACAGGTGTGTATTTGCAATATGACTGTGGATGCATTGAGTGATTATTTATTATTTATACTAAATATATATACATATATATATCTGTTATATGCTTTGCTTTAGGTTTGTGTTCGTAAGGTACGGAATAAGGTTGCAGGGACAATAGGCGATGCCACTTTGTTGTATAATGGGTATTTGGACTCCTACATCTCTGTTTATTGTGCTTTCATAAATTCTCATGATTAAGTAAAATTTAACCAGTAAGGCTTATGCCAGCAAGGAGTACATTATTATGTCCTTTGAGAGCGCTGTCTTAATTTGAATTTGATTGTTAGAGGCTCAAGCCGCCATTGAATTTTCTGTTCTTGAAAAAGAATGGAGGATTGGTTTCATTTACATTATTCAGACAAGTTTGACATATATGGAGGATTGATTGCAGCCAGTCTGCAATTCAAATCCCTATGATCTAGGCAAGAAGAGGGGAAAAAATGAGAAGAGTACAAATGTTCTAAAAACAGATTCGGATCTAAAAAACAGAGAGGTTCAATATCCTGTTTTTATCAAGGCAAAAAGAATTCCATTTCTCTAGTTAAATTTGTGATGGGTGCTTGAATGGGATGGGGAACCTGACTTAAAAGCTAGCTATTGAGATAGAATAAAACCAATTAAGTACCCTATTAAGTATCCTATACTACTCAATGTGGGACTTGATATCTCATACTATCAAGTCTCCATCAGTTGGCCCCCCATGAAACACCAATGTCTCTACGGTTACACACCACAACACTTAACTTAGCCTCTTGTCAGTTAGAACCTTTCATGGTAACCTTGCTCTGATACCAATTAATGGATGCTTAATCAGGATAGGGAATCTTACCTCAAAAATTAACTGTTGAGGTGAAAGAACCAACTCATTTAAATACCTTATTAAGTATCACATATTACTTAATGTAGGATTTGGTATCCCTTACTACCAATTCTCCATCAGATTGTTGGAAGTATCTACCACTGGTGCTAATTGATCTTTTTTGGGCAGGGTAACTGGTGAGTTCACCTCTGTTGATGAAGGGAACAAACTTCCTTTTGGTAGCTAAAAAAGTAAGCATTCTCGGAAGAGATAGCAGGTGGCCATATACATATTTTGGATAAACTTGTTCAATGGATGGCATGACATTAGCAGATGCTTGGTTCCTTTTTGGGCATGCTTGGATCTGATTGGAAATGGTGGATATCTTCACAACAAGGAGTATCAAATTTGACGGTAATATTCTTCATTGATGAGGAGTCATGTGAAAAATCTTGCTCCACTTCATTTTTCAAACCACAACCCTATTGGAGATATAAATCTAATCCTTTGTGTATATAGACTTTGTATTGTCTTGTAATGGCTCCTTCATTCCAATTTTGATGTTATTTTATATCTGAAAGTTTGGGTTGTAAGAATATTTTTACTGAACTAGATTCTGTCAAAATGGTCGGCACGTTCAATTCAAACATAAATTCTTTCTGCTCACTTAATGTCTATTGCTTTGAAGAGAGTATTTACTGAATAAGTGGGCAAGGTTGAAAAACCATAATCGTATAAACCCCTTGATGCATTATTTACAGCGGGGAATTTCTTCAGTAATGAAGAAAATAGAGAGGAAAAAAAACTATGAAGATAAATTTTTAAAAATTTTATTACTTTTAGACATTGTCTTTTCTAGTTTTTTTCCCCTTCCTATCCATCCAAATAAAGGGGAAATGTTTTCATGTAAATTTGGTGTTGTCGTCTCTGATGAATTGAATCGTTTAGTCTTAAAACATAGGAGAAAGATGGAACTTGTTATTGCAATGATGAAATTATGAACGCAATTGTCTTTTGGAGTTGCAAATGCTGTGTGAATATCATTTCTAACAATTTATGAGTCATGCAACAATTGGTTAACAGTTAACCAAAAGAAAATCCACATCAATCCATCTCTTTGCAAAGAAACACAATCCAAAAATTAGATAAATTTTTTTAAAAAAATGCTTTCATGTCCTAATTTTTGTATTCTATAATAGATTTTTTGTAGAGTTTAATTTGAAGAAATTTACACTAATCCATAAACTGCTTTCTTTTATCTATAATGAAATATACAATCAACTTATATTAGCATGGATTTTCATTTTTTATGCAAGTAGTTGAAAATTTGATTTCCATCTAATGAATGCCCTTTTCCCTCATATTTCTTCCCAGTAGGGAACAAATTACATGAAAACATTAAAGATAAATGTGTGAAATAAAATAAAATTGAATGGAAATTTTTTTGCATGCCATGTCATTTATGCTCTTTCTAATAAAATTGCAACATGTTTGTTAAATAAAATTTATGTGTCATATTTTATAATTTTAGTTTTAGAATATAATGTTTCTTTTGTTTTTTCTTCTATCTATTATTATCAATGGCATAATCAATTTATATTTACAATTATTTAATATGACATGTTTTTATTAAATAGAGTATGAACGAGCAGTGCACCAATTCATGCAAAAATTTCTCAATTAGATGGAGGTAAATTGAAACCTAAGTTGTTGGTTAACATAAATATTATAAAGAAACTAGAATTAATGGGCATTAACTTTCAAATAAACTCATATTTTGATTATTATAAAGAAACCTATAATTAATGGGCATTAATTTTCAAATAAACTCATATTCTGATTATTTCATTAGGAGTTTCCAAATCACTACGTTTCTGTGATAATAAAATTAAGCTTCATCCTCTTAGTTAACCCTCTTCACTAAATATCTCTATCAAGACAAACAAGAGAAACCATTGCAAGAAACTTAAATTATTATTCATTCATGTCATTGTTCAGACGAACCATCTCGTATGACTTCAACAAATCCGACATTGATGAGCTTAGATGGGTGATTCACATCCGTCAAACCCTAGAAGAAGAGCTTGAAGAGGAAGATAATGGCGAATTCCTTGTGTCTATCTTCACTGTTCCCAAGCCCCTTATGACTGGTGATCCAGATTCTTACATCCCTAAAAAGGTTTTATGTATTTTTCTCATAGATCTTTCAGTGAATAATAAGCATTTCTATTCTTAGGAAATTTAACTTTTCACGTTAATCTTTCGAAAATACCTGGTCACTACTTTGTCCATTAAGTAGTTTTCTACATAGTAGTGGAGTGTTTTACCCCCTTGTTACGCTGCCATTTACAAAATTATTCCCTAACCATATCTAAATTGCTTTTAGAAGGAATCCAGCAGGATTATTATAATATTTTTAAAATTGAATGGCCCATTTAAATTTCTGGCAAAAAACAAAAAAGAATGGCCATTTAAATCAGTCTAGGACCTGATTCAAGGTTCATTTGTTCGATTTTGGTCAAACTGATCAAAATTAATATAATAAGATTTTAATAACAATAGGAAATAACAAAACTACCACTTTGCATAACTGAATCTTTAAATCTAATCTCGTTATTATATTTATAATCACAAATTGAAATCAAAATAGGACACCAATAATAAATTGTCATGATACTCATTTTTCAAATTTATAGTTATTAATAATTAATAATTATGTACGAGAATGATTCTGATAAAGTATTGGAATTTTATAAGAAAAAAATAATAATACCAAAATGATGCCATTTTTCACTAATAACTAAAAAATAAGGGGTAAACCGAACAAACTAATTAATCATTTGTAAATTTTTTTAGCAGTTCTAAAAGTAATTGATTTTGTAGAAGCAATTTTAAATCGTTTCAAGTTCAATTGAATGGACCGATTCCACCCTTTTCTGATATAATACTAGATCACATTGTTAGCCTCAACTTAGAACATCTTGTTGACCAATTGAGAAAATATGAACACAGGATTAGAGCATGCTACCACAAGTACTTAAATTTCAGTAGCGAAACCTTAGTGTGGTGATGATTATTGATGCCTCCTTCTTGCTTGATTTTCTTCAACAAGGAAGAATGATCGATTATGGTGGTGGGAGAAAATCAAGTCAAAATGATCAAACCCTAAGAGCATGCTAATGTTTGAGAATCAGATCCCATTATTTGTTTTGAGAAAAGTTTTAGAATTCAAATCATCGTCATCATCAACAGAAGAATCATTAGCAGATGATATGCTTCTTGCTTTATTGATAGGGTTGTTTAAAGAAATTTCACTTTTTGAGACAACTAAAGAAAATTATTATTCAAAGATCCAAGTCTCACAATGTGCGCATTTGCTAGATTTCTTGTATAACATGATTGTACCCAAATTGGAAGAACAACTTGTTGGCAATATATAGGTAAATCACAAGCTACTTGAGTCATGCTGAAGAACACTATCTTTAAAAACTATTATGGCAGACCAGCAATTCTCTAGGATTAAACAAGCACATCCTATAAGAACATAAGGGCACAAAACAGCAAACACCAGCAAACTCAGATGAAAAAAAGTACACAATAGAGGAGGAAAGAAAACCTCAAAAGCTCAAGAGGCAGGCACACCATTCTGTCTACACCCATAACTATATATAGGCTGAAGATCTACATAAACATTGGGCTCATAATCACCAAATTAAACACCATTAAGCCTTAGTTACACAATCATAAAATAGCTTAAATGCTCGGTTATGCACGCATGCATTACTCCTAGAGCCGTTTGGGGACAACAACATAATGGATTTGATTAATGTAAATCCATTTAAGAATATGTTTAAAGGCCAAAAAACATTTAAGGTTGAATTCAAATTTCAAATAGTTAAATATCAAGGTCTTCTAATAAGCTCATGTGAATAAATAATTATTTACTTTTTGCAAAAATAATCTAGTAAAAGAAACCCAGTGTCTATTGAGCTCATGCGCAGGGGGTGCAAATTGGTTGTTTTCAATTAACCTGATTTGACTTGTTTTATACGCGCAAGCCTAATTTTCCTCCAAGCCTATTTTACTAGCCCATTTCATTTCTCAATATTGATATATTAGAAGCACTCTTCATTTTGGTAATGTCAGACTTTTTTTGACACACACACACATACAATTACTACAACACAACCAACAAAGACATGGAAGGTAATGAAAAATCATTTGTGAGATATGTTAAGCAAGCCCTAAGTGAAATTTGGAGGATGGCATCAACAGTGACCAAATCATCAGTAAGCTTCATTTAGAAGGTATTGTTCAACTTCTTTTTTAGGTAAATAATCGATATAGGTGTATCAACTTATGTCATCAAATTTTCTAGTTGTGATATCATTTTGGCTCCTGTAAAAATATACCATCTCTTGTTTAGGATTCACTTACACTTGAATTATTTATGTGTCGGGATGTTAAGTGTGAGTTAACTTGGTTTTGTGTATGGAAAAGTCCCACATTAGATAGAATTGGGTTGAAAAAGAGATAGATATGTGGAAAAGATCTATAAGCTCAATGCCTTAAAGTTTTGAGTTAAAATATAGTATCATGCTACGTGTCCTCTTGGAATTGTTTGGTGACCTAGCTGTGTTTTTCCCCTTTCTGAGATGCTCTCTATGAACTATGAATTTAATGTCATTTTGTATAACAAACATGTATGATCAATGACTTGATACTTATAATTCAAAGTGTTATTATGTAGAGTTATTGTTTAGGTATTGTTATACAAGCCAATGAAGATCATCATTTGTATGCCTTTGACAATCATTTGTAACCTTCGGTGGTTGGGATTATAAAACACCCTTTGGAATACCTGTTTTTCTCACAAGAGAACAAGCAATCGAAAACAGAAATTGTTGATCTCAAGAAGCCACCCTTGATGGAGAAAATTGCTATCCCTTATGTTACAGAACTCTCAAACTCTGGAATCTGTTTCTCACCCACTAATAATGGAGCAATTCGTAGCATCAGATTTGATAAAGAAGCAGCCACACTTCAACTTCCCACAATAGCCACAGGCATCAACAGTCAAGTATTGATTAGAAACTTGGTTGCTTATGAAACATCAATTACAATGCAGTGGCAGGCCACTTGTTTTCACAAGATGCATAGAATTGGTGAATGGGATTATAGATTTTGAGGAAGATGCAAAGATTCTGAGAGAAAAAGGGATTGTTTTAAAACATTTGAACAATGATGAACAAGTGGCTAACCTGTGGAATGGGACAATCATGTCCATTAAATTGACAAAAGTACCATTCTTGGATGAGATCATTGAAGATGCGAACAAGTACTATATTGGTAGGATGAGGGTTGAAACTTGGAGACTTATAAAGCTTTGTGTTTGCTTCATGGCAGTTCCTGACATTTCTAGTTGTTGTATTGATCTTGCTCTTGATGTTCTTTCAAGCTTTCTGCTCTTCTGATGGATGCAATCGTAGGAACCATGCCAAGACTATTAGATGATTCAGTGGTAGAGTAGGATACAGGACTCATTTTTCTCCAAGCATCTCGTTTCTTCTATGTGGTTACAATGTATTGTGGTTGGACTCGGTTGTATGATTTGGTTTCATGATCTACAGTTCATTGCTGCGTGAAGTTCTTCATTGATATTCATTCTGGATTTGGTTTGGTTAAAACAAAAAAATTGTTTCTGATTTCTGATCATAATGGTTACCACTAATTGATTGAAATTTTCCCTTTTGAAATGATGAAGAAAAATTACTCATAGATCAATTTTAACAAAGTGCATAAATTGTGCAAAAATAGGAATAGTAGACAAATATAAATGATCTTAAGGACCAATAGAGAGGATAGGAAAGATAGTGAAAAATCATTCATAAATTATCACCACAAAAATGAATGAATAAAGATTTTAACGATGATTTTTGGTAGAGAATATTAATATATCCTTGCAGTGAAGTTTAAGCTTCACTCAAAATTCCTGCTGCTCCAATTTTAATTTGCCCTTAGGTTCTTTTCTAGTTTTAGGCTTGTGATACTTGTTCTTAGACATTTAGAATGCTACATTGGACCCTGGCGAATTGGATTGGATTATGTATTTCGACTTGCTCATGGTGTTGGGCTTGACTTTTTGACTGAAGGGTTGAAATAAATATGCTTTGATTAATAGAAATTTGAATTTGATCAACCTTTTTATTTAGATATATAAAAATTTATAGATTTGAAAATTCATTTTTTATTATATTTCCTTTATAATTTTAAAGTATATTTACATATATGCATTCAGACATTTGAATTTTTAATACCTTCAAATCTCTTGTTTTATTTGTGTTTTCACGAATGAGATCTCTTTGACTCCAGTATTTTTTTGTTATTTTTGGTTCTCATCTCTCATTGATTAAAAATAAAGGTAAATTTATCACTTTCAATTTTTCATTTTTGTTTCAAATTTTAACCCATCTCTTCTTCATTTGAACTTTTAAAACTACCTAAAGGGAAAAAAAAACGGTTTAGTTAGTGGTCAAGTTAGCTTAATATTCTTTGCTTTTCATCAAAGAATAATCAATTCTTAGAATTATAATCAAATATATTTAATTATTATCTTTAATTTAGAGATGATGTCTTTTGATGTGGATATATATAATGTCGAATAATAGCAAGGATTTTCATCAATGTTAACCACAACTCTAAAGATTGATGATTTAATTAATTAAAAAAATATTTATAAGGCCTTCGGCTCAAGTTAACCATAATTTTATTAAGGACCAGAACTTATGTTTTATTTTATTTTATTTTTTTCCTCTTCACTTGAGCACCTTGCCTTCACAATTTAACAATCTTCAAAATTCTTGGTCAAGAAGTTCAATTGCATCATGAATATTCGGAATATCAAAGGTGTGGGACCCTCCAAAAGTCGAGCTTCCAGTTATTGATAGATCATGATGGGATAGATTTTCATATAGTAGTAAAACAGCACAGCAGCGAAATCATAATTTCAAATGACTTCACTAAGATACAAAGCTGAATAAAAAGAAAAGAAGACGAACAACATCCATGAATGAATGGTTATGATTGAAGGTTGCAACAACACACATCCTTCACTTGAAAGATTTAAAACAACAACTCATCCATTGACTAAAGGTGAAATTCAACACACAATGATGTGGCCCCTTTATATAGATTTAGAGATACCAACTAATTAATTAGGTGATTAAAGACTTATGGATAACATCCTAATATTCCAACAGTAGCTGGAGCTGTTGATAAGAAAAGAGATGAATAGTTGTGAGAAGAATATATATAATATGATGGAGATAAAGTAGTAAGAGTTTGATCAGAGAATAAGCTTCTCAGATTCTCTATTACTGGACTGGGGGACCTTGAAGAAAATAGCTCTCGTAAGATCAATGTAGAGGGGTAACTGAGCAATGCCAAAGAAAGTCATAGGCAAGATAGTGACGGCATAGAGTGGGAAAACAACCTGCTGGAGGTGTTCCCTGAGCAAGAAGGAGAATGCGGAACAGAAAGAAACCAAGACGGAAGCGATGGACCCGAAGAGGCAACTCAACCCCAAAAGAAGTTTGAGAGGCAAATCTTTGCGGAAATCTTTAGGTTGCTGGCGGGAAGTGAGGATGGAGAGGAACGTGATGAGAGAGGTGATGGAGCAGAAGAGAGCCAAGAGGGATGTGAATGCAAACAAGTTGAAAGCTGGGTGGCGCTCCAAGTAAGGTTTGCCGGTCTCCTCCTGCGTACCGCCGGGGAAAGTGGTGGCCGTGGCGAAGGCCACGCCGGCAATAAGCGCAGCCACCACAGAGCATGACTCCGACGTGCTCTTCAGCCACTCATTGCCTTGGTCGAGTAGCTCCTTGTGATCACTTACGAAAATGTCCTGCGGTGTCTTGTTGCTTTTGTTTTGGAGGAATTGCATATGTTGCGGCGTTTTCTCCTTCATAAACTTGAAATACAAGAAATTAAAGCTCACATCAATATAATGACACATGAAACCATGCATGGATTGAATAAATTTGATTGAGGAGGAGGAAGAATGCTAGAAATGATACCAGAAACCATTTAACTTCCCACTGCATTTGCAAGGCAGAACCAGCAATGTGCCAGGGCTTGTGAAGCGAGAGCTTGGCGGCCAAGTGGAGGATAGTGTTGCCGTCTTTGTCTGCACGTCCCACGTGGCTTTTCCACAACATCTTCTCCTTCAGGTACTTCGTCAGATGCTCAAATACATGTGGTTGCCTATTCTCCACAGTCACATGCAATACATTTTGGGCTAGCGAGTTCGTTTCGTGGATGGCCCCTGGTTTATCTTCCAGAATTTTCTTCACTATTTCCAGCACTCCATTTTTCGCTGCAATTAACAATACTGACTCATTTCTCCCCCCTTCATTTTCCTTCTCTTCATCACACCCTACAAATTAGTCCAATCAATATTATGGGCTAGCTATGACAAGTTGACAACGGACTATTCTTCTTTCAAGTTGATAATTCATGAATTTCAAGAAAATTTCCTTTTTAAAGAGGACATTAAAGATTTTACGTTTTATAAACGAGAATATTAAAAATAATAAATTCATGAATCTGAAGTTCAAAGGATTTAAGTCCATGAATTATATATAACATTTCATTTATAAATATATAAGAGTCCCAAGGACAAAGCAACACCTGCAACTTTCTTGCCTCATTTTGTTATTTATTATGCATGTATAAATGTGTATAGTATATACACAGCACTTTTGTTTGCATATTTAAATAGGAACAATATATATTACATTTAGTTGTTCGTTAGCATTAACTTTTTCATTAACACACACACACAAGTTGGTCTTTTTTAATTATAAATTGTCTTGAATTAATTATCATACAAAAAATTGCCTATTTTTTATAAAATTTTATTATTATCTATCCTCTCTTTTTTAAAAAAAACATCAATATGCAATGAAAAATGAAAACTATTTATAATAAAAACATCTTTAATTTTATATTCTATATAATTTTTTAAAAAATCAATATATTAAAGATATGGTAATTATCATTTAATAATGTATTTCGACTTATAAAAAAATGATTAATGAATATTTAAAATTAAATATACTTTTTTTTATACAACTCACGTAGGCTCAGGCAGCATCTGGTTAAATTCAAGCTTCCAGATCCAACTTTGACCAACTCTTGGGAGTTTTGAAACATCAATTCTGTGAGCAAGACCAGAAAAAGAACACTTCAGACTGTCTTTCATCATTTCTTAACCCTCATTTCTCATCTCTTTATTTCTTTCTTTTTTATTTTTAATGAATATTTCATTAAAAATATTTCCTTTAAATCATAATATAAATAATTATTAATTAATTTATATTTTTTAAAAATAGTTGGTTTAAATCTTAATTTTTTTAAAAAATTTATACCTTTTCAATCATACCCTTAAATATAATAAAATATAATATTTAAATTATTCAAAATACCTTTATTAATTACTCAATAAAATAAGTGTATAATCAAAAAAAAAACCCATTAAGCTTATCTAATATCATATATTTTAAATTAAATAAAGTTATTAAAAAATATTTTATATTATAATTTAGATAGAGTAATTCTTAAGTTGATCAATATATATATAGAATTTTTTTTATAAAATATATAAAGAAAGTGAGGATCATCTTTATGCTGTGTGAGTTGTGATTTTTAGTCATAATTAATGATAGAGAGTTACCTTGTAGTTTGTGTCGATCCACTGTGATAAGTTGTTTGTCAGCATCTGCGCTTTGTTTCGCATCACCCGCAATTGCAATTATTGGAAGATAGATTGCTGCACAAGAAATCAAAGTCCTATGAAAAAGTGCATAACATCTATTGCATCCAATTCAAAGGTGGTGAGCCGGTGGCGGATTCTATGTTTAGAAAATTTGCCCGAATAAAGTGTTGCCAACTTGCCATCCATGATATAGTGATATTACACACAGTAGTTTATTATCTTGAGGCTATTTTCTTGAATGTAATAAATTCTTGTCAGAAAGAATAAGTTTAAGTTAAAGATTTCTTAAAGTTGATCACGATAGAGAGTTTCTTGCCGACCCACAATATCTATAAAGATTGGAGAGGTGATCAAAAATACCTTTATGTTGCTGTGATTTAGTTTGTCAATGTTGTGATTTAGTTATAATTAAAGATTTCCAAGTTTAAAAATTCAACTCTGATATAATTAATGATAGAGTTACCTTTTAATTTGCGTTGATTCATATTGTTTTCTTTTTAGCTGCATTTATCCTATGTTAGAGATAAAAGTTATTACTCAGATCTTTCTCATTTCCAAGGTGTAGCATATTAATAAGATTACGTAAGAATCAGGACACAAACTATGGGTCCTGCAAAATTATACAATTTGTTATAGTTAATAATATGGATTGAACACGAGCCCAATGAGCCAAAATGTGGCAAGTTGGGTTGGCAAAATGGAAGACCATTCAGAGATGGGTTACCCACACCACTTAATTCTGAACGTGCCACGGACTAGTCCACACGGCCCATGGGTTAACTCTTTATTATTATTATTATTATTATTTCCTCCCAATATAACCAAAATAGTTCCTGGAAAAAGATTTGTTTCTTTAATTAAAAAAAGTATATAAATTAGATGTGAGAAAGCAACTATAATGATAAAAAATGTCAAAGATTAAAGAATACTCCTTGAAAATATACTTATAATATCATTCCCTCCTTCCTTTATTATTATGAGACAATTTCCTGTAGTCCTTCTCGCAAGAATTTATGCAATTTCTTAATTCTAGGTCAAAAAATATATGTAAAAAGAATAATTTTTAAAAGATATTAAAAAAACAAAAATGGGTTAGCAGGCTAGGTTAAGAAAATGGGAGAATGATAAAGAGATTCTAAAAAGACTAATTAATTCAAATTAGGTTCTAAATGTTAAATTTCAGAAATTTGTAGCTTAATCTTTTAATTTTACAACTATATTGTGATGAATTTGTAACTTATTTTTTAAATTTTAAGATAGTTGAAGAATAAAAAAAATTATTTTTTCTATTAAAATTTAGAATACAAGTTAAAAATTCATCATAAAAGAGTTGTGAAATTGAGAGATTAAGTTGTAAATTCCTGAAATTTAACACTTGAGACCTAATTTAAATTAATTGATCCTTTTAGAACTTCTCTATCATTCTCCCTAACAAAATTGTAGCTTGCTTGGCAAGCTTTTCAACTTGAACCTGCCAACCCACAACCTTTTTAATAATTTCTATTACCGATTTTTTGCCTGTTCTATTTGCCGTCAACGCTTTGTGGTTTGCATTATCACATGCAATTTGCCCAAATTAAAGCGTTTCCATATGCACAATCCATAGTGATATATATATATATATATATATATCTCACACACACACACAGTTTTCTCAACAGAGGAAGAGAGGGAGTAATTTCTATTACCAATATTCTGCTTGTTCTGTTTGCCATCAACACTTTGTTCCCCCTTTTGGTTCGTATTATCACCTGCAATTTGCCCAAATTAAAGTGTTGCCATGTACCATAATCAATTGTGATATTTATTTTCTTGAATGTAATAATTGTTGGTTGGAAAGAATAAGTTTAGTTTGGATAACATCCCAAGGACCAGAAGCCCAAAAAGTTCATAAAGGTTGACATTGGATATGATCTATCCATTAATGTTGGGCATAGCTTATTTAACAAGAAGCACTCCCTCTGTTTCAAAATATAAATATTTTTTTTAATTATTTTGATTTAAAATATAAGCAATCTAATATATATATATATATATATATATCATTTTTTTTATTTTTTATTTATTAACAAATTTTTGTATAAAATTATCTCTAACTCATCATAAGGTGCATTAGTAATTGGGAGTGAGAGTAAAATATATATATATATATATATATTTATTTATGAAAATGATAGCTTTATTGATATACAAATTTTTGTTCAAAACTATTCATATCTTGGATCAGAGAGAGAGAGAGAGAGAGAGAGAGAGAGAGAGAGAGAGAGAGAGAGAGAGAGAGAGAGAGAGAGAGAGAGAGAGCGAGAGAGAGAGAGAGAGAGAGTGGTGTGTGTGTGTGTGTGTGTACTATATATAATTCACTTTTTTGACCTGTAAACCATTTTGGTGGGTATTTATCTTGAGTGGAAAACAATATCTCTTCAAAAAACTAGAAATTATCTTGGCAAAAACCAACTCATTTAAGTAGCTAGTTCATTAAGCATCTCATTCTTATAGAAAAGGTTAAAAAAAAAAAAAAAACCAAGAAAAGATCAATATCTCCATGAGATATAATGATGGGTGGGTGAAGGGCGAAAAACCTTTTGGGCCATCGGTCTCGCGACGAGGTTTGGGTATCACATAGGCTTTGACACGACCTCCAACATATGCTACATCTTTATACTTCCAAAGTCCATCCAGTATTTGACCGCACCAAAGGTGCTTTTGTTTCTTCTTCCTCAATGTCTTTATTTCCTCTAATCCTTGATTAATATATATAAACAACCAAATTAATTAAGCACAAGTGCGTATAACAGAATTAAAAGCACCATCAATTATCAGGTAGAGAAAGAGAGAGTACTGTACCAAAGCCTTCCAAGACAGACCAAATAATAAAACAGGTGAATGCCATGAAAATGTCACGACATGTCCGATAATTTTTCGGAACATCATTTCCATGTTCACAGTTGTAATCAATTGGGTTTTCTGTATCCGCAGTGCTTCGGGGACGAGCTACGACAAAACATGAACTTCATTCAATTTTCAGATCATAATTATAAAGCAAAATTAAGATAAACAAAATACTTTCTTTTCATAAACATGAACTTGCCAGTCTGCTGGGATTTTGACTGATGGTTGGTGCTTCTCAACCGCTTCACGTATATACCTTCCGCATGAAAAAGGAAAATACATAAATATAAAAATAATTACAATATTGATTTTTATATTTTTTGAAAAAAAATAATACTCCCTCCGTTCTTTTTTATAGACCAAAATAGACAAGAGTTGGGTTTTGCTATTTATAAAACAATTTACAAAATATAAGTAGTAATTAATATATATGTTTTCACTGATACCTTTATATAAACAATGGCCTTAGCTAATAATTAAGAGTGTGTGTGAGAAAGATTTAATTAAGGGCATTTTGTAACGGAGTATAATTAAGTGGAGCATGCGTGGGTGCCAATGATGAAGAGGGCAACTATATTTGTGTGTCTGTATTTATATATATATTCCTCTAGTCCTATTTATAAGAATAAAAAAAAAAGATTAATTTTAATCTTATTTATAAGGCATGCACTTAATTATTTTTATGTTCATTTTGTATTTCTGCCCTTATTAAAGATAGAAACAAATTAAAAATAATTGTTTTTTATTAGGAGAATGGAAGTAAAAACTTATTAAATTTTAGGATAGAGTTAATAAAGTTTAAAATTTTATTCAATTCAAGTAAAATATGCTAAAAATAATTTATAAATAGAATTAAAGAGAGTACTTACACTCATATGCCAACATATTATACCATCTAAAATTGCTGCTGCTTTTGAAGGCAGAAGGTTTGTCGGCTAGGATATGGAGAGGGGTAATTCCCTTTTCATCCACAGAACCCACAATTTCTTTTTGGTACATATTAATGATTTCAAATGCCAACTCTGCAGTGAATAGAATAATTCACAGGAGCAAGAATTCATTAATTAAAGGCATCAATAAATAAATCATTAATTAGTTGTAAATTTATAACAAGTCCGCCCCCTACTATGTTTACCAATTACTTTGGACTAAATTTTTGTGGTATTTAAACTTCATGATGAACAATTTTAAAAATAAATATAATAAATTTTTTTGAAATTGATAATTTTATTTATAAATAAAAAAAGACACTCGGTAATTTTTCTTATATTTGAGAAGGGGAGTAAAATTTACGCACCAAAGTAGTCTCGGTAGAGGGTGCAATGAAGGACTGTCTGGCCATCGCTTGCTCTTCTGCATGGCCCAAGAGACTTGTCGGCGCAACGAGATTGGAGGTAAAAGAAAACATCGTTATGTCCATTTAAAGCAGCCAAGAACAGAGGAGTCTCTCCATTATTGTTCCGTTCTTCAATCAACACGTGTCCTTGATGACGATGGTGATCAGCTTCAACGATGCACTCACACATCTGGAGCGACCCTATGGATGCTGCTCGATGCAACGCTGTGTCACCTTCAACATTCTTTGTTTTCAAACTCTCCACCGCCCCCGACGTCTGCTTAATTTCATCCACCAGCTGCTTAACTGTGATAGCATTGTTCTCGTTCGCCGCCACGTGCAACGCCGTGTCTTTATCACTGTTGACGGGCATCTTGTGAATCATTGCGTTGTCTTTGTATGCCGTCACCACTTCACTCCATTCACCATGGAACGTCCATCGGTATAAATCCATCCGCGTCATCGAAACAAGTTGAATATCCATCGATGAATCCATGTGTTGCATTTTGCAGCAATGCGAGAATTACTGGCAAAACTCTCGTCGTCGTGTGTGGGCAGTCACCTTGGTGCGTGGTAGCCTTTTATACGTGATTAACTACCAAATCATGTCCCTTATGTCTGAAAAAGCAGAGCAGGAACCTCTGGGAAGCAATGCCAGTAGGGCCAGGGTCCCAGTAGACTCATTTTATTCCAGTAAAACTCTAATAAATTTTAAAATATAAAGTAAGTCCCTTAGATGTGAACTGGTATTTTTAAATATAAAGTCAAGTCACAACAAATTTGGGAGAAAAAAAAAATCACAAAATAGAAAAATATTTCAAATTTAGGGGACAAATTTTTAATTGTGTCGTCTTGAATCTGCAAACTCACTTTTCCGATTTTAACATGGAAAAAAAATTTTAATGATTAAATTTAAAAAATAACATGTCATCATCTAATAACTTTAAGGAACTTGCAACTTAATTTGTCTTGTTAAATTTGCAACTCATTTTTTTAACTTTAAAACTAGAAAAGATTACATTATGTAAAAAATACTAGTTAAGGATCTAAGGGACTTATTTTATATTTTCAAATTTGTTACGGCTTTACCTGAATAAAATAATAATCCTTTTTGAACTTAAATGCCATCCTTCCATGACAATAATATCACCTTTCCTTGTATGGAAGGGCAAAGTATTATTATCTTTTGCTTTTTAATTAATCTCAATTTGTTATTTGTGTTGTGGAACACGTTGTCTACCAGTTCAAATCAGACGAGCAACCCAAAAAACATAAAAATCCATTTTTTTTTGTTCTCAACTTTGTCATCTGTTTTAAGTCAGTCGATGTATTATCGATCATATATACCTTGGACATATTCTGAATTTCTGATGAACAGCTGCTAGCGACACAGAGGGATGAAGTCTAGAAAACTTATTTGATTTGGAGGTAAAATTCATGACATACATTAATATACTATTTCGTTTTTAAATATAAGAAAAAAATAACCAACTCATTTAGTTTAAAAAAAAATTAGTTAAACATAATAATTGTGTCTAGAATTAAAAAATTTGGATTAAATTAATGAAACAAATTTGTCTCGTGAAAATGAACATTGATTTTATGTGGGGAAATTTGAAAAAAAAATGTTATAAATGTTAGAAGAAGATTATCTCCATATATAATTAAGTTCCTGACTGATTGCCTCCACAATAAATCAAGAACATTAAGTTTTGTCCAAAACAAAACCATATGTGCAGTAGTATATAACAAAAAAGAACGAATATACTAGATCAATTACTAGATTAAATTAGCTTATTTAGAGAAGGACAAATAAATAAATATATAGCTAGGTGGAGCCGGACAGAGTTCATAACTCAAATAAATAAATTAAAGTTTAATAGTAAATAAAATGTACCAAATGCTAAAAATCCATAAATTCATATCTAGCCTGCACAATTTAAAGTTTAATAATAAATAAAAAGTAACAAAAGCTAAAAAGCCATAAATTCATATCAACCTTCACACTTCAGCAATCTTGAGAGTTACAAAATTGGATAGAACTACTTGTCCTGCGAAAGGCAACACTCATATCATTTATTCCCATGTGTTCCACGAATTAAATACAGATAGATATATTTTATTTTCTTTGTGGCCGAAGACTACAGAGAGAAACAAACTTACTTGAATCCACACAAGTATTTTATATCGGTTTAATTTAAGAGAAAATTGGTGAAAATAATCTAGTTGGAAGCAAAATTAATCAAAGGGACCAAATGTACTTGAAGAACCAAGGCAAATATTTTATTTATTAAATAATTTGAACAAATAACTAAATGCCCCTTTGTGTTAATAATCTTTTTTTTTAAAAAGCACAAAATTTGATTGTTGGAGCTCCAGTCCCTCCTCCAACAGTGACAATACACTTGCCAGAGCTCTAGATAGCAAGTGAAGGGTCATTGGAACCAACACCACTTGATTGCATGTAATCATTAAGCATTACATGTAAATTCAACAACTAGAGGGTGCAAGGATTTTAATTTAGGGGACAAAGGCTTTGGCTTGAGGCAAGGCTTTTGGCTTAAGATGCAAGGGGTATGGCTTGGGTGTAAAGCTTTTGAGCGAAGGTGCAAGACTTGTGGCTAGGGTGTAAGGCTTCTGACTTGAGGTGTAAGGGTATAGCTTAAGTGCAAGGCTTTTAACTTGAGGTACAAAGGTTATAACTTAGGTGTAAGGCTTCTGATTTGAGGTGTAAGGGTTATGGCTTAGGGTGCAAAGGGTATGGCTTAGGTGAAAGGGTTTGGCTGAGGTGCAAAGCTGCTGATTTGAGGTGCAAGGGTTATGACTGAGGTGCAAGATTTCTAGCTTAAGGTACAAGGCTTCTGGCTTGAGTGCAAGAGAGATGTTTAGAGTGAAAGGCTTCTAGCTTAGGGTACATATGTTATGGCTTAAGATGCAAGGCTTTTACCTTGTGTTATAGCAATGTCATTTTCATGTAATATGTAGTCATTTTCATAATCTGCTAGAAATTACATGTCAATTATTTCTCAAGCATGCTTGCAAATTTTTTCCCATGTCTATTTACATGTGTAATCAATGGTGATTTACATCTAAATCCGAGGCACTAACAGGGGTGTCTTCTCTGTGTGATTGATTTACATATAATTCGTTGGAGATTACATATAAATTATTCCTCAAGCGTGCTTGCGAATTTTTTCCCATATTCATCTCATATCAATAATTATGAGATGAAGAAAAGACTACTCCATAAAATGGTTTACCAAAATTTATTTATGCCTCCAATAAGATGATTAGACTAAAATTTGTGACAACAAGATTTTCTATTTAAATATGCACATTTTAATTGCAGCACTTAAATGCATCAAACCAATAAAGTATTGTGAAACTTCTAGTCTATTTCATACATAGACTAAAAATATTCCCTTTGAGATTGTGCAACTGCTACCTTTACCTTCGTCAATCTCAGTCTCGCAATCTCACAGCCTTCAACTTTTAGTCTCTATCCCATTCATTTCTAACCCCAATGAATCGCACATGAAGCTCGAGAGAATCAATTAAGAGCTAAGTTGGTAGAAAATAAGAAATTTTTAAAGAGATGATGGCTCAATTTAAGTCCTTGACCAACGAATGCATTTTAAATACGTATACACCTATAATTGAAGATCAAGGAAGTGATGAGTCTGATGGTGATGATTACAGTCTATGAATTTATTATGACTTTAATTTGGATTACTTATAAACTTGTTTATTTTAGATATATTTTCATGATCAGTTATATTTGTTGTTGCATTGGTGCTGTTACTAGTATTTGAAATTGTCCCTGTAATAGGAAAGGGGTTGACAAGAAACAAATTTGACATTAATTTGATTTGCCAATTTCTCATGGAATTCTTTTGAAAGTTTACATGAGAACTATTTTCACTCGAAAGAAAAATACCTGAATCTACATTTCCATTTTTTCATTTCTCTCAAATTTTTTGAGATAAAATAGTTCTCGCAGAACTTTTCGAGAGAAACTTACCAAACACTGACACAATCCGTTCGTTCATTTCTCTCAAATATGTTTGTGGGAAATTTTTTCACACAATTTTTTCTAGAGTCATTCTCTCAAATAGTTGCAAGAGAAAGTGTTTCTCTCATTATTATTTGGGAGAATAGCTCTCTTCGAGAGAACTGTCTCTTTATATTTTCAGAGAAGTTCTCTTACCTATTTTGGAAAATTAGATGTTTTTAAGAGAAGTTCTCTTGAAATAGTCCGAAAGGAATGTGTTCTCTCAAAATTGTTCAAGAGAATAAACTTGACTTGAAAATTTTTGAGATAACATTTTTACCTACGAGATTTTACTCTCTTTTTTCTCAGGAAAAATGAGAAAAATTCATCTCTTTTGAAAGAAGATGAAAATCAAATAATATATAACATATTGTTCATGATATGATATGATACAATTTTAATTGCATTATATATTTAATTGTTGTTATTTAATATAATAATCAAATTTGAAAATTGGACTAAAATATTTGTAGGAATATAATTGAAGGCTTAAATTTAAAATTTGATACATTTTAAATTAATTTTATTAAAAAATAATATTTTTAAGTTTCTATGAATATAAAAAAATATAATATATATAATATTTTTTTAATTATATTAATAATTGAAAATAACATCAAATGTATGTATATGTTTTGAGTTTTAACAATTTAATATTGCTTCATATAAACACATACTTGTGTAATTAAATAATGTATAATTAATTTCTCATATAAAGATTTCAATGCTTTAAACTCCACTGACTGCTAATAATATCTGAAGCCATAAAATGTTGACATATGAATATATCCATATTCTAAGAAGGTAGCGATTTGCAATATCAAAGGGTGGGACTCTCCAAAATCTAAGCTTCAAGTTATTGATTAGATTATAACAGAGATTTTAATACACAATAGTAAATTTGAAACGATACAAATATGAAAAAAGTAATAATAAAACAGTGCAGCAATGGAATCATAATTTGAAATGACTTAAAGTAGCTAGAGTTGGTAACAAAACAGTTCTTGTCAAATAGTTGTGAGAATCATGGAAAGGTGATAAGAATTTCAAATACGCAGCTTTCCACCAGATTCTCTATTACCGGATTGGGGAATTTTGATGGAAACAGCTTTGAAAAGATCGGTGCAAAGGGGTAACAGGATGACGCCGGTGAAATAAATAGACGAGATGGTGAAAACATAGAGTGAAAAAACATCCTGCTTGAGGATGTCCTTGAGCAAAAAGAAATGCAGCAGAGAAAGAGACGGATATGGAAACGATGGACATGAAGAGGAAAACTCAACCCAAAGAAGTTTGAAAGGCAAATCTTTGTGAAAATCTCGAGGTTGCTGGCGGGAAGTGAGGATGGAGAGGAACAAGATGAGAGAGGTGATGGAGCAGCAGAAAGCCAACAGTGAGGTGCTTGCAAACAGTTTGAAAGCTGGGTGGCGTTC